CTGAATGTGCCTGGATGTTGTGCAGATGATAAGAAAGAGATGATTGTGGATGTTATGAATGAGAAGAAGCTGGATGTCCTGGCTTTAAGTGAAACAAAGCTGAAGGGGGTGGGAGAGTTTCAGTGGAGAGGAATAAATGGGATTAGGTCAGGGGTTTCAAATAGAGTTAGAGCTAAAGAAGGAGTAGCAATAATGTTGAAGGATAAGCTATGGCAGGAAAAGAGGGACTATAAATGTATTAATTCAAGGATTATGTGGAGTAAAATAAAGATTGGATGTGAAAAGTGGGTTATAGTAAGCGTGTATGCACCTGGAGAAGAGAGAAGTGTAGAGGAGAGAGAGAGATTTTGGGAAATGTTGAGTGAATGCGTGGGGAGTTTTGAATCAAGTGTGAGAGTAATGGTGGTTGGGGATTTCAATGCTAAAGTGGGTAAAAATGTTAAGGAGGGAGTAGTAGGTAAATTTGGGGTGCCAGGGGTAAATGTAAATGGGGAGCCTTTAATTGAGTTATGTGTAGAAAGAAATTTGGTAATAAGTAATACATATTTTATGAAAAAGAGGATAAATAAATATACAAGGTATGATGTAGCACGTAATGAAAGTAGTTTGTTAGATTATGTATTGGTGGATGAAAGGTTGATGGGTAGGCTCCAGGATGTACATGTTTATAGAGGGGCAACTGATATATCGGATCATTATTTATTTGTAGCTACAGTTAGAGTAAGAGGTAGATGGGAAAAGAGGAAGGTGGCAACAACAAGTAAGAGGGAGGTGAATGTGTATAAACTAAGGGAGGAGGAAGTTCGGGTGAGATATAAGCGACTATTGGCAGAAAGGTGGGCTAGTGCAAAGATGAGTAGTGGGGGGGGGGGGGGTTGAAGAGGGTTGGAATAGTTTTAAAAATGCAGTATTAGAATGTGGGGCAGAAGTTTGTGGTTATAGGAGGGTGGGGGCAGGAGGAAAGAGGAGTGACTGGTGGAATGATGAAGTAAAGGGTGTGATAAAAGAGAAAAAGGTAGCTTATGAGAGGTTTTTACAAAGCAGAAGTGTTATAAGAAGAGAAGAGTATATGGAGAGTAAAAGAAAGGTGAAGAGAGTGGTGAGAGAGTGCAAAAGGAGAGCAGATGAAAGAGTGGGAGAGGCACTGTCAAGAAATTTTAATGAAAATAAGAAAAAAATTTGGAGTTAAACAAGTTAAGAAAGCCTAGGGAAAGTATGGATTTGTTAGTTAAAAACAGAGTAGGGGAGTTAGTAGATGGGGAGAGGGAGGTATTGGGTAGATGGCGAGAATATTTTGAGGAACTTATAAGTGTTGAGGAAGAAAGGGAGGCGGTAATTTCATGCACTGGCCAGGGAGGTATACCATCTTTTAGGAGTGAAGGAGAGCAGGATGTAAGTGCGGGGGAGGTACGTGAGGCATTACGTAGAATGAAAGGGGGTAAAGCAGCTGGAACTGATGGGATCATGACAGAAATGTTAAAAGCAGGGGGGGATATAGTCTTGGAGTGGTTGGTATTTTTGTTTAATAAATGTATGAAAGAGGGGAAGGTACCTAGGGATTGTTAGGTAAGACACATATGCAACAGTTAGGTATCTTTATTTCGAAACGTTTCGCCTACACAGTAGGCTTCTTCAGTCGAGTACAGAAAAGTTGATAGAAGCAGAAGATACTTGAAGACGATGTAATCAGTCCATCACCCTTAAAGTTTTGAGGTGGTCAGTCCCTCAGTCTGGAGAAGAGCATTGTTCCATGGAATGAAACAATATGGAGATGAAGTGACAGGATGGAGCCTTTTATAGCGCCAGGAGGTGAGACGTAGGTCACTAGGAGAGGTAAGATCTCAGATGTTGGGAGGACAGGTCCCTCTCAGATCCAACCGTTCTCACTAGTAGAGGTTGTCGAAGTTGATTGTAGGTCTGTACCAAGATACACTTGTTTCATTCCATGGAACAATGCTCTTCTCCAGACTGAGGGACTGACCTCCTCAAAACTTTAAGGGTGATGGACTGATTACATCGTCTTCAAGTATCTTCTGCTTCTATCAACTTTTCTGTACTCGACTGAAGAAGCCTACTGTGTAGGCGAAACGTTTCGAAATAAAGATACCTAACTGTTGCATATGTGTCTTACCTAACAACCTGTCGGTATTTTATACCATTTTATTATTCTACCTAGGGATTGGCGGAGAGCATGTATAGTCCCTTTATATAAAGGGAAAGGGGACAAAAGAGACTGTAAAAATTATAGAGGAATAAGTTTACTGAGTATACCAGGAAAAGTGTACGGTAGGGTTATAATTGAAAGAATTAGAGGTAAGACAGAATGTAGGATTGCGGATGAGCAAGGAGGTTTCAGAGTGGGAAGGGGATGTGTAGATCAAGTGTTTACATTGAAGCATATATGTGAACAGTATTTAGATAAAGGTAGGGAAGTTTTTATTCCATTTATGGATTTAGAAAAGGCATATAATAGAGTGGATAGAGGAGCAATGTGGCAGATGTTGCAAGTACATGGAATAGGTGGTAAGTTATTAAATGCTGTAAAGAGTTTTTATGAGGATAGTGAGGCTCAGGTTAGGGTGTGTAGAAGAGAGGGAGAATACTTCCCGGTAAAAGTAGGTCTTAGACAGGGATGTGTAATGTCACCATGGTTGTTTAATATATTTATAGATGGGGTTGTAAAAGAAGTAAATGCTAGGGTGTTCGGGAGAGGGGTGGGATTAAATTTTGAGGAATCAAATTCAAAATGGGAATTGACACAGTTACTTTTTGCTGATGATACTCTGCTTATGGGAGATTCTGAAGAAAAATTGCAAAGGTTAGTGGATGAGTTTGGGAATGTGTGTAAAGGTAGAAAGTTGAAAGTGAACATAGAAAAGAGTAAGGTGATGAGGGTATCAAATGATTTAGATAAAGAAAAATTGGATATCAAATTGGGAAGGAGGAGTATGGAAGAAGTGAATGTTTTCAGATACTTGGGAGTTGACGTATCGGCGGATGGATTTATGAAGGATGAGGTTAATCATAGAATTGATGAGGGAAAAAAGGTGAGTGGTACGTTGAGGTATATGTGGAGTCAAAAAACGTTATCAATGGAGACAAAGAAGAGAATGTATGAAAGTATAGTAGTACCAACACTCTTATATGGGTGTGAAGCTTGGGTGGTAAATGCAGCAGCGAGGAGACGGTTGGAGGCAGTGGAGATGTCCTGTTTAAGGGCAATGTGTGGTGTAAATATTATGCAGAAAATTCGGAGTGTGGAAATTAGGAAAAGGTGTGGAGTTAATAAAAGTATTAGTCAGAGGGCTGAAGAGGGGTTGAGGTGGTTTGGTCATTTAGAGAGAATGGATCAAAGTAGAATGACATGGAAAGCATATAAATCTATAGGGGAAGGAAGGCGGGGTAGGGGTCGTCCTCGAAAGGGTTGGAGAGAGGGGGTAAAGGAGGTTTTGTGGGCGAGGGGCTTGGACTTCCAGCAAGCGTGCGTGAGCGTGTTAGGAGTGAATGGAGACGAATGGTACTTGGGACCTGACGATCTGTTGGAGTGTGAGCAGGGTAATATTTAGTGAAGGGATTCAGGGAAACCGGTTATTTTCATATAGTCGGACTTGAGTCCTGGAAATGGGAAGTACAATGCCTGCACTTTAAAGGAGGGGTTTGGGATATTGGCAGTTTGGAGGGATATGTTGTGTATCTTTATACGTATATGCTTCTAAACTGTTGTATTCTGAGCACCTCTGCAAAAGCAGTGATAATGTGTGAGTGTGGTGAAAGTGTTGAATGATGATGAAAGTATTTTCTTTTTGGGAATTTTCTTTCTTTTTTGGGTCACCCTGCCTCGGTGGGAGACGACCGACTTGGTGAAAAAAAAAAAACTTTTTCACGAAAATAAGATAACAGACACTTAAATGGAATATTCTAAATTTGATTTTAAGAGACGAAACAATTTGTAGATATCCAGATGTACTCCTGTTGACCCTTTTGAGACCTAGTTCCTAGGTCCTTTGTGTATGTATTCTTGTGGTCAAGTCTACAGGATGGATAAGGAGTGCAACCCCGGCAGCAAAATCTAAATCTAATGTGGTGAGGGAATCAAATTCTAAGATTTGAAAAGTGCTTTAACCTGACAGATGACTCAAGTGTTCTTGGAAACACAAAAATAAACACGAAAAACAAACAGTGAATGACCAGACTAAATTAAATTGTCTCACAAAAGGTCTCTGGTGTTTTTACTTTATAAACACAAAGGAAACACAAGAAATTCCAAGGTAAATCTATACAAAAAATTACTAGCAGGAACAAAACATCCAAACAGAAGAACCCTAAGATAAAATAACCCATCTGAAGAATGAGTTAACAGGGGCAGATTACTCCCTCTCCTCGTCTTGTCTTCCCACACCAACAATTTTAGGGAGGACTTGGAGAGCCCAGAGTTATAATGATGAAGACTAACGTGCGGGGAGAGATGCTGTAATGGGATGACTGTTGCTGCTGCTGCCAGGTTGATGTAACTACACGTCACTGTATTGCCGTAATTACTGTAATGACTATACTGTGCAATCCAAGACTGTGGATGCTCACTTCTGCTTACAGCATCTCCAGTCATCTGTCATAGTTGATGACTGTGTACTGTTACTATCATTGTTGATGACTGTGTACTGTTATTGTCATAGTTGATGACTGTGTACTGTTACTGTCATAGTTGATGACTGCGTACTGCTACTGTCATAGTTGATGACTGTGTACTGTTACTATCATAGTTGATGTCTGTATGCTCTTACTGTCATAGTTGATGATTGTATACTGCTACTGTCATTGATGATGACTGTGTACCGTCACATGTCATAGTTGATGTACATAAACAAACATTAACAGTGCTGTCTGGCTAGTCTGTGACCAGCCAGACAGCCTGGCTGGTCTGTGACCCGCCAGGCTGTTGTTGCTGGGAAAATTGATGGGAAAGTATGGGAGACAGGCAACGACAATAAGCATTTACTTACCTTTGCTGTTGCTGTTGCTGGTGTGGTGTTGCGGAAAGCTTGGTAGGATGCACCTCAATATCAATGTCATCTTCGGCAGACTTTCTGCCGAAGTGGACGGCTTTCTTCATCTTCCTGACCATCTTCTGGCTGCTGAACCTCCTACCAATCCTGAACTGGTGGTTGCGACTCCTTCTGAACCTCCTGCCGCCTGGTTCTGCCGCCTCCTCGCCCTCCACTCCTTCAGGAGGTGCCTCCAGCATCATCTCACTCTGTACACTGATGTTATCATCGTGGTAGCGCGGAGACTCCAGCTCCCGGCCCCTCTCAACCTCACACTCGCTACCTTCACTCTGTGAGCATTCTTCACTACTTCTCCGTTTGCCACAATCTAGATCGATGGCGTGCTGATAGCACAGTGTGTGGCGGCGGTGCTGGTGGTACTCCAGAGGCAGGTGGTGGTACTCCAGAGGCAGGTAGTGGTGCTGGTGAGGCAGGTGGTGGTGCTGGTGAGGCAGGTGGTGGTGATCTTGAGGCAGGTGGTGGTGCTGGTGAGGCAGGTGGTGGTGCTGGTGCTCCAGAGGATAGGAGCCCAGCTCCACACCACTGTCGTCTCTTCTGTGCGACTTAAAGAAGCTTCCACCACTGCTTCTGCTGCTATCACCACCACAACTACCACCACCACTACTACAACTACTACTACCCCCCTCTTCAGTACCGCTCATGATGACCCCGTCACCGTCACTGCTACGACCAACCAGAGTGTCATCATCGTCGCCCGTATCGTCACCTTCACTGAGATAACTAGTACCCGAATCACGATTACTGCTCTCACTCTTAAAACTCTTACTGGTTCTGGCACTCTCACTGCTCTCTACAACACTGCCGTCATCTGACGTTCTCTCTACATCAACTGTTCTCTCCTTGGCGGCGTCCATGACCCTCATAACAGCACTACACTGTTCTACTGTGACTGTGTTTTCACTTTGTTCTATCTCACCTGAAACACTTTGTTCACTCTCAACACCCTCACCACTCTGTTCTTCTGTTATTTTGATGCAATGTTTTTCACGCTCTGCGAAACTTTGTTCTCCTACCGGATCAACACTCGTTCTGACACTAACATTACTTTGTTCTTCGTACAGTTCTTCTATTGTGCTGTCACCGTGTTCTTCAGTCGTGATGTTATTTTGTTCTGAGTCGCTTTGCTGGTTTCTTTTGTTCTGACGTTCTCTGGCGAGGTGAACGCATCCCTCTTCGATGCTTACAAGATTTTGTTCTTCAGTTTCTTCGGCATGTTCTTCAGCTGATCCACCGATCTGTTCTTCAGTTGCTGCAATTTCTTTTTCAGTTACATCAACTTGTTCTTCAGTGACATCAACTTGTTCTTCAGTTACATCAACTTGTTCTTCAGTGACATCAACTTGTTCTTCAGTGACATCAACTTGTTCTTCAGTTACATCAACTTGTTCTTCAGTTACATCAACTTGTTCTTCAGTTACATCAACTTGTTCTTCAGTTACATCAACTTGTTCTTCAGTTACATCAACTTGTTCTTCAGTTACATCAACTTGTTCTTCAGTGACATCAACTTGTTCTTCAGTGACATCAACTTGTTCTTCAGTTACATCAACTTGTTCTTCGGTTACATCAACTTGTTCTTCAGTTACATCAACTTGTTCTTCAGTTACATCAACTTGTTCTTCAGTGACATCAACTTGTTCTTCAGTGACATCTTGTTCTTCAGTTACATCAACTTGTTCTTCAGTGACATCAACTTGTTCTTCAGTTACATCAACTTGTTCTTCAGTGACATCAACTTGTTCTTCAGTTACATCAACTTGTTCTTCAGTGACATCAACTTGTTCTTCAGTTACATCAACTTGTTCTTCAGTGACATCAACTTGTTCTTCAGTGACATCAACTTGTTCTTCAGTTACATCAACTTGTTCTTCAGTTACATCAGCTTGTTCTTCAACTACATGAACTTGTTCTTCAGTTACATCAACTTGTTCTTCAGTTACATCAACTTGTTCTTCAGTTACATTAACTTGTTCTTCAGTGACATCAACGTGTTCTTCAGTTACATCAACTTGTTCTTCAGTTACATCAACTTGTTCTTCAGTGACATCAACTTGTTCTTCAACTACATCAACTTGTTCTTCAGTTACATCAACTTGTTCTTCAGTGACATCAACTTGTTCTTCAGTTACATCAACTTGTTCTTCAGTGACATCAACTTGTTCTTCAACTACATCAACTTGTTCTTCAACTACATCAACTTGTTCTTCAACTACATCAACTTGTTCTTCAACTACATCAACTTGTTCTTCAGTTACATCAACTTGTTCTTCAACTACATCAACTTGTTCTTCAACTACATCAACTTGTTCTTCAGTTACATCAACTTGTTCTTCAGTTACATCAACTTGTTCTTCAGTGACTTCAACTTGTTCTTCAGTGACATCAACTTGTTCTTCAGTTATATCAACTTGTTCTTCAGTTACATCAACTTGTTCTTCAGTGACATCAACTTGTTCTTCAACTACATCAACTTGTTCTTCAGTTACATCAACTTGTTCTTCAGTGACATCAACTTGTTCTTCAGTTACATCAACTTGTTCTTCAGTGACATCAACTTGTTCTTCCACTACATCAACTTGTTCTTCAACTACATCAACTTGTTCTTCAACTACATCAACTTGTTCTTCAACATCAACTTGTTCTTCAACTACATCAACTTGTTCTTCAGTTACATCGACTTGTTCTTCAGTGACATCAACTTGTTCTTCAGTGACATCAACTTGTTCTTCAATTACATCAACTTGTTCTTCAGTTACATCAACTTGTTCTTCAGTTACATCAACTTGTTCTTCAGTGACATCAACTTGTTCTTCAGCTACATCAACTTGTTCTTCATCACCCAGTTCATCACACGCAGGGATGTACTCTGATGTCACTATTACTCGAGCGCACTCTTCCTCTGAGAATACTAACAGGTTATCACAGTGGACACTGGTGAAGTTATCAGTCCCACCGTCACACACGTCACCTACAACGACAACCCCATTGTCACCACAGCTACCACCTTCACAGTCATGGTCGTATTGGTTATCGAAGTACTCTTCTGTTTCCTCGGGTGGGGAGGTCGTGCTTTCCTGGCTCCTGCTGGAGGCTCCTCCCTCACAGCAGGCGTGTATGAATAGGCTCTCAGTGTCACTGCCGCTGTCAGTGTCCACCGGTGATGTCAATAGCAAGTTTGGGCTACTGTCTGGGTCCTCAGTGGTGACTGGCGGTCTCTCTTTGTTACCTTTCTTACTTTCTATTGCACTTTCTTCCCTTCCCCCTTCGTTTTCCAGTGGTACTTCGTTGATTTGTTCCTTCAGTGCCAAATTAGTATCTTCACCTTCTACCGATGCATCTACATCCTGTACTGACGCATCTTCATCTTCTACTTCCTTAGCTATTTCTTCCCTTACTCTTGTGTAGCAATTTTTCTCTTCAAGGTTGTGCTCGCGATGATTCTTGTCCTCACTAAGGGTGCAGTCAGGTGCCTCGTCTACGTAATCACCCCGAGGCACAGTTGTCTCATCGACTGTCACACTGGCACCCTCCAAGGCACCCCTGTCCTGCTGGTCCTCCTCGCTAGTGGTGTCAGCAGCGTCAGCACTACTCACGTACACACCACAAACAACTTCTTCTACGTACACAGGAGACTCTTCTGTCTGGACTTCTTTAAAATTAGCAACACCAAAAGCGTTCTTGCTGTTTGCTCCGTCTGAATTCAGAAAATCTGCATCAAGGCTCTCAGCCTCTGGCACACGTATTTCTACGCTGTTGTCCCTAGAAGGATGACACACACACTGTGAGGAGCTGTGCCAACTAACACCTAAACACCTGTCAGCTGACTCTGAAGAAAGATTAACATCACTCTGCGGCAAAAGATCTAAGTCAATGTGGTCTTCAACTTTGCTTTCACTTTCTCCCGCCTCACTGTCACAGAGATTCACAGATTCAAGAGTACTTTCATCTCCAGGAGAAATTTCCACTGGGTCAGTAATCACTGCTTGAGAGGTACCTTCATAAAGGCTCTCACAGTGCTGAAGGTGGTGGGAGTGTGGAAGCGACTCAACACAATTCTCGTGGTGGCACTCTGATGTAAGACTTGCGTCTCCTTTCACGTCACTCGCCTCGGTCACTACTGCGTAAAAACTACATTCATTCTCTTCTATTAATTCACCGAGATCCTGAGTGCCTACCCCTTCCTCTAGAATGATGACATCCTCAGTTCTCTGATCCTCCACACATACTTTATCACTTTCCTTTATCCAAAATTCTTTTCCAAAGACTGCTTCAGCAACGCACACTGTGTCCGAACACTCATCACCATGGGTACTGACTGTACAAATATTAGTTGGACCGGATATGTCAGATATCACGTCATTATCATTGTGGGACTCCATCCTGCCGGCGCCTGGGGCCTTGTCGAGAGGATACTCATCATCTACATTTGGTACCAGGTCCTCGTTATTAATGCTATAACTGGGCTGGCTACCTTCGGTATTGATGCTGTGCTTGTACTGAATTTCGTTTTCAACGCTACATACCATTATCATCTCATCCTTGACCATCAACTGTACGTCTTCATTCTCCGGCAGGTCCTTCGTCTTCTCCTGCGGGTTGTCCACTTTGAATAGTTCCTCAGCTTCTAAGTGACTTTCAGGAACTTCAACGGACATTTTAATGCTAATGTTCATCTGCTCATCCATATCTTTGTTTACCTCTCCTCTCATTATATCCTCTTTAGTGTCACCAAATTCGCTCTCTTGCAGAAGCTGAATTATATACTGTTTTAATTTACCTCCTTCCTCGCTTTTCGACTCGTTACTCTCGCTTTGAGCCATATCATCAACACATTTCTGGCAACTTTCTCCATCTCCCAAGTCTTCAATTATGACGTCCGCACCTTCGTGTTCAAGATCATTAAGGTCACTGGTGCTACCACAGCAGAGCCTCACTGCCTTATAAACTGGATCGTCAAGTATTAGCTCGGTATTTTCGTTGAAATCCGGCTTTATGTCACTGTCAACATTCTTATCCTCGTGTGCTGCACGTTCACAATCCGATGTTAACTCTGGTACTCTGTCTCCTGTTGTTGGCGTCATAGCCTCTTCTACTGTGAGAGCAGAGCTGGAGGCCCAACCAGACGAGGAATCATCCTCATCATCGACATTACAGGATTTTTCTAACAGGGCTTCCGAGGGCGGCATTCCTTGGGTCTGGTCCTCTCCAGCGAGACAGAAAATGCCATCCTGCCCACCAGCCTGCTTGCGAAAAACAACCTCGTCAGTACTTTTCACATCAGAAAAAGCCTTCGAGATAGTCTGTGGAACTTCGCTTATATCATGGGTTACGCATGACCAAGGGATGTTCACATGATGACCCAGATAGCCAGCCTGTCGCCTTATGTCATCTCCGTCATCAGGGTGTCCAGCACTGCCGTGAAGGGGCTGTGCTGGAGACGCTGCAAACTGGGGAGAGTTATAAGCCTCGGCGGCTGACGGTGCACTTATCAGCCTGACCTCTTCCACGTCTTCACTAATCACATCGCTGATGTTAACACTGCAGTCGCAGGCTTCCTCACATGTCCTCACGTTATTAATATTCCCATTATCATCTCTGTCAATGACCTGTCCCTCACAATAACACATTTTAGCCAACACATCACTAACATCGTTTTCATTAACGAAATCATTCACTGTATTAAAATATTTACCAGCACGTACGTCTGACGAGCAACTCACGAAAGACACTTTAGTTTCTCCTTCGACACACTCAGAGGACTCAACCCCATTTTCTCTCATGTAAAGAATGGGGTAACTGCTGTGAATTGTTGGGTCCTCCGCTCCTTCCTCACTGTTGTCCTCCTCGTCCACACTGATGACATGAGCCAGATAGGCCTTACAGGTGCCGTGGTCACCATCAGGGCACCAAGGCACAAGGTCGTCATCTTCAGCAACAGTGGTCAGGGTTCTAACTAAAGGATCATAGTCACTCTCCATTTTGTCATGTTACTTTCTGTCACACACTCGTAAACACTTCATTTCTACAGTGTTGTATATATAAACAATATAAAATGTACACCTGTAAATAAAAACATATGAAATACAAGCTATATAACAAATAAATCTTGATATTTAAGCTCCATGGCTCTAATGGACACAGTTAAAATCAGCTTCATTCACGAACTCTACAAAAAACTTTACGAACGCTAGTATACATTCGTGCCACGGTTCCACTTGCTAGGTTACACTAGTGATAAATTACCTAGATTTAACCCCTATCTTTTAATTAAAGGCTCATCTCGTTATACCTTCCACAAACATTTTCACCCTAAAATGTGTTATGTATAGGTAACAAACACTGCTATAACACACACTAGCATACCACATGAAAGGAACCATGAGGAATAAGCTACGTATCACACTAAGCATTTACAACCATCCACACACTGGAGCCTTTTAGTTCGAGTAAGCGTTCAAGAATGACAGAAAAATGACAAAAATAATCCACACTCTCAGACTTTGGAGTCCAGTCCCTGGACCAATTATGTACCTTTGTAATCTTTTGACTACCGCCCACAGGATGGGTATGGGGTGCATAATAAACATACTAAACTAACACTCTCAGATCCGTATAAGATTAGAAACAAAGTCAGTGACTTCCTTATCAGACTCACAGATATTAATGTCAATAACAGCAAAAAATCGTTCCAGACAACCAAATATTACATCATTTCCTCTTTGCAAATATACAAGATCATTAACCATGCAACAACACCTCACCGAGTTGAAGGAAATGTTCGCAACTTTCACAAAACCCTACATAAAAAACTGGTTTGACAATGAAATAGACACAACTGGTACAGTTTACCTAGAAACAAAGAGAGTCACAGCAGAATCTTCGACTTGTATGTTGTAATAAAGTTGGTAGAATTACCGACAATATGTAAAGTAAAAGGACACAAGTGCAACTAATGTGACATTTATTGTGGCAACGTTTCGCTCTCCAGGCTTGATAAAGCTCCTGGAGAGCGAAACGTTGCCACAATAAATGTCACATTAGTTGCACTTGTATGTTATAATTGTTTATTTTCTAATTCTAATAATAATAACATCTTTATTTCTACCAGTACATGTACAAGGTATACAGACCATAGCTGACATCAATGACATACTACTATATAGAAAGTCACTTGTTATGCTGAGCATTTCCCGCAAATTAGGTCAGTTTTGTCCCAGGATGCGACCCACACCAGTCCACTGACACCCAGGTATCCATTTTACTGATGGGTGAACACAGACAACCGATGTAAGGAAACATACCCAATATTTCTACCCTTGCCGGGAATCGAACCCAGACCCTCAGCGTGTGAAGTGAGAGCTTTTATCACCTGGCCACGGGCCACTGTTACACTGATGTAGTACAAATTTGGACAATAAAAATTGAATACCGGAATCTAGTTATCGAACTTGTATGTAAGTCACCAGATTTAACTTTCCAGGAGCTCAAAGATATCGGATACTATCTTAATTTTTTTTTTAAAATCGGCTCCACACATCTTAGTAACTGTAATTTTAAAACATCTAAAATGAAACAAATACTGTAGTAGCAAAGAAAATCCCAAGATGCAGTTCAGATGAACATAAACAAACTATTAAGACTTGTAAATTTGCCTGAAGTCCATAAATAGTGGAAGCGATCAGAGCAGAAACTACCCACGACCTTATATTCACAAATAATGAGAATCTGATAGGGAAAACAATGGTATTGAATACATTAAATTAATTCAAGTTAAGACTGGCATACATACGGGGTCTTGGGCACCGTCTCATGAAGGTACACTCAACAAATTCACCATCAACAATCACTATACTAACTGGTATAAAATAACGAATAACCTTAAGTTAATATGCTGGGGAGATATGAATAACATGAATGTAAGCCAGAGTGTGGAGAGGATGAGCTCACTGGCACCAGAGGTGACATCTAGATTCATGCCTGTAGGGAAAGGGAAGAGTAGATGCAAGTTTGATGGAGAAACGCTTCCTATACAAGCGGAGACGACAAATCACTGATCTTCTCTAAAGGTTCACACATTCTCAAAAGTGAAAAAGAAATACGAGAGAGAGAGAGAGAGAGAGAGAGAGAGAGAGAGTGAGTCAGGGTCCAGGAAACAGTCAGGACAAAAGCCATTACTGAACTATGCCTGGAGAGTCTACCTGGAGAGTCTACCTGGAGAGTCTACCTGGAGAGTCTACCTGGAGAGTCTACCTGGAGAGTATACCTGGAGAGGGTTTAGGGGGTGAACGCCCCCGGGGCCAGGTCTGTGACCAGGCCTCATATAAAGAAACCCAAAATGTGCAAAATCCAAGGCTAAAACCACACCAAGTCTTACTTGAAGGATGTGGAACTTACACGAAGAAATGCATAAAACAGTTCGACACAGTCTGACAGTTCAATGTTCACTTGAACTGTCAGACTAAAGACTGAATTGCCAGATTAAAGACTGATAATTCAAAATATTTTTTTTCTTGACTGAGACCCAAAATTCTTCCAATATATCCAAAATTTATAATATAACCCTGACCCCCCCCCCCCCTCGTCTATGAGAATACAAGTGGACTAAGTCTCAAACCCAAACTCGCGGAGTTGAATATTTATCGAAAAATGAAAAAAAAAGTTATATTGACATAAGTATCAACCCGTAGCCATTTAAAACCACGCAAAAAACAAAAAGGCACAATACCGTGACTTGAACAGAACACAACCCGCTTACGACGACGTTTCGGCCCAATTTCGACCATTTACAAAGTCACACGCATACACCGCACTCCACAAAAAATAACAGCAAAATAACCACAGAAGAAAAACTATAGCATTAAAACGTCCCACATTATTAAAACGTTTGAACGCGTTTTAAGACGCAAGATTGCTAAACGCAAGGAATCACAAAACGTTCACAACGCAGGGCGGCGTGGACTCAGAGGTCAGGTGAGGGTCACTCCTGCCTCTCACAACTACTGGACCATTACGACATGGTCTTGTATGCACTGGAAGACAAACATAATATCGTACACACACACTTTGCAACAGCCTTCAACAGTGCGATCATGGTGTACTAGCACACAAAATGTGTACAAAATAGTAAGTCAGGTCAGTCACGTCACTTAAGGGAGGAGCACGGCATCCGACCTAGTAGCACCAGCTAGTCAGGTCAAACTCACACCCACCCACACCCACTCATGTATTTATCTAACCTATTTTTAAAACTACACAACGTTTTAGCTTCTATAACTGTACTCGGGAGTTTGTTCCACTCATCCACAACTCTATTACCAAACCAGTGCTTTCCTATATCCTTCCTGAATCTGAATTTTTCCAATTTAAAGCCATTGCTGCGAGTCCTGTCTATGTTAGATATTTTTAGCACGCTATTTACATCCCCTTTATTAATTCCTGTTTTCCATTTATACACCTCAATCGCTCTCATGTCCAACATATATAGAGATATGCAAAACAATCACGGGAAGAGTTGACTTATAGCTGTAGGCCTTTCGTGTTGCAATCAACACATCATCAGGAGCTTGCAGTGCTGCAGAAAGATGAGCCAATCCAAGCAAATTCGTTCAGGGGAACGTAGTTTACTCGAATGAGCAAAGAGGGAAGTTGACAAGTTCCTCAAGTTAGTTCCTGATCAGCTGGGCTGTGGTGCCTACGTTGGACTGCGTGCAGCTAGCCCCAACAGCCTGGTTCATCAGGCCATCATCCAAAAGGCCGCGGGGGTGACCCCTGGAATTATGTTCATATAGAGTAAACCAAGACAGTGGAAGTAACTTATCTCCCGTGACATTGTTAAGTGTCCCAGTGATAACATAATATTAACAATACTAACATAACGATATTAACAATACTAACATAACGATATTAACAATACTAACATAACGATATTAACAATACTAACATAACGATATTAACAATAATAACATAACGATATTAACAATAATAACATAACGATATTAACAATAATAACATAACGATATTAACAATACTAACATAACAATATTAACAATACTAACATAACGATATTAACAATAATAACATAACGATATTAACAATAATAACATAACAATATTAACAATAATAACATAACAATAATAACATAACAATAATAACATAACAATATTAACAATAATAACATAACGATATTAACAATAATAACATAACGATATTAACAATAATAACATAACGATATTAACAATAATAACATAACGATATTAACAATAATAACATAACGATATTAACAATAATAACATAACGATATTAACAATAATAACATAACGATATTAACAATAATAACATAACGATATTAACAATAATAACATAACAATATTAACAATAATAACATAACGATATTAACAATAATAACATAACGATAATAACATAACGATATTAACAATACGAACATAACGATATTAACAATAATAACATAACAATATTAACAATAATAACATAACGATATTAACAATAATAACATAACGATATTAACAATAATAACATAACAATATTAACAATAATAACATAACGATATTAACAATAATAACATAACGATATTAACAATAATAACATAACGATATTAACAATAATAACATAACGATATTAACAATAATAACATAACGATATTAACAATAATAACATAACGATATTAACAATACTAACATAACGATATTAACAATACTAACATAACGATATTAACAATAATAACATAACAATATTAACAATACTAACATAACGATATTAACAATACTAACATAACGATATTAACAATAATAACATAACAATATTAACAATACTAACATAACGATATTAACAATACTAACATAATGATGTTAACAATAATAACATAACGATATTAACAATAATAACATAACGATATTAACAATAATAACATAACGATATTAACAATAATAACATAACGATATTAACAATAATAACATAACGATATTAACAATAATAACATAATATTAACAATAACATAACAATATTAACAATAATAACATAACGATATTAACAATAATAACATA